AAAAAAGAATAAAAATAAAAACAGGTCTAGGCATCCTAGTATGGCCCAAAATGGTACGATAGGAGCCATGAAGTCAACATACCAATGAATTTTGAACTTTTAATGATACCATTGCATTGAAAGATGGAATAACTGTAACAACTAGGATGAAATAGACTGTTTTCAACTCTTCAGGGCAAAATATGAGCAATTTACAGTTGAGTCTGAATTTTTATTTTTATTTGCAAATCAGAAAAAAATGAAGTGTGCGAATCCGTTAACCAACAAATTAAATTGGTGTGGCCTAATGTTCAATGTGTGTTTTTTAGTCTTAAGGGAGATATTTTGACTTAGCTGCTAGCAGACTTTGACTGATATCCAAAAGCCAAACTCAGACAGACCATGCCATTGGGGAATTTGAGGTTGATGCAGTTTTCTTTTTATGAGTAACATGATTTAGCAACAGAGATTGGCTGACGGTGAGAAATCTTAATGTCAGAAAGACATGAAGTTAAGGCCACACCAATTCAATTTGTTGCTTCTCGGATCGCCCTGTCAATTTTTTTCTGATTTAAAAAAAAAAAATTTTGTTCCAACTTGACTGCAAAATGCTCAATGAAAGACATATTTTGGCCCAAACGATTGAAGAAAGTCCTTTTCCTCCTAGTTCTTAAAGTTTTTCAATGTAACAATGCAATTTGTTTCATTAAAAGTTCAAAATCTATTGTTTTAATTATAAACCAGCCTGGTATGTTTACTTCATGGCTCTTATTGTAACATTTCCGGCCTCCATAGGGTGCCTTGGTCTGTTTTTTTTTCACCCTTAGCTATCACTTCATATTTTTTCTGAAAAAATCTGAGAAACAACAAATTAGATTGGTGTGGCCTAAGCTTTGGTCTGATGTTCATTGTGTTTGTCGCAAAGAGCTAGCCTAAGGGGAATTTCTCAGACACAATGAACTTGTAAGGTGATGTAACATAAAAGATCTGGCAGTTGGAATCTTAAAACCAATGCAAAAGGACAACAGAAATACATGAATTTCATTTTTAGTCCTTGGGGCAGGATGTTACACTGTGTTCTGATATGTTCGTTGTACTTGTCGAAAGGAGCTAGGGGAATATTGTTCAGTACAATGAACTTGTAAGGTGATGTTGTAACATCAGAAGCCAGAAATCTTAAAATCAATCAAATGACATCAGAGACATTCAGTTTAGTCCTCAATGGGGCAGGACGTTAAGCTGTGTTCTTCAGTATGTTTGTGGTATTTATCGAAAAGAGCCAGGGGAATATTCTTCGGTACAATGAACTTGTAAGGTGGTAGCCAGAAATCTTAAAATCAATCAGATGACATCAGGGACACATTTAGTTTCAGTTCTTGGCCCAGGACGTTAAGCTGTGTTCCAATGTGTTCATTGTACTTGTCGAAAAGAGCTAGGGGAATATTCTTTTGGTACAATGAATTTGTAAGGTGATGAAATCAAGAGCCAGAAATCTTAAAATCAATCAAATGACATCAGAGACATTCATTTTTAGTCCTCAATGGGACAGGACATTAAGCTGTGTTCCACTGTCAAAAAGAGTTTTTACTACCTATTGGAATTTCCCCTGACTTGTATAATGAACTTAGTCGCAGGTATCATCTGTCTTCTCTGTCAGGACCATTGAAGGAGTAGCTTAACTGTTCATTGAGTTCATTGAAATAAACTGGGTTTGAGATTATTTTTACTCGCAGTTAATGCACCTTCATCTTGATTGATGCATCAGAGTCTGACTAAGAGGAAACCCAGAAGCCTCGTTGCGCTTATCTTTCATCTGGAGCTTTCATGAACAAGTCCTATAGTTAGGCCAAGGCTCTCCTGTTCAAGGACTTGTGACATCCTGAATACTAATTCAGATTGGAAAGTTTGAGTTAGTAAGTGTACAAGGATGATAGTATCAACTTGGGGCCAGTTGGTTCTCGGATTTGCCTGCTTCATTTTTCTAATTTGCAAAAAAAAATCTGTTTCAAAATCAACTCTAAAATGATCATTTTTTGACCCCAACAGTTGAAGAAAGTCATTTTCTTCCTATAGTTGTTTACAGGTAATATTTATTTTTTGTCTATCAAGGCAGTGGTTTGAAGTAATTCAATGTCAGAATTCCTTCTTTCAGACTATACCATCCTGGTATTTTGACTTTGTGGCTCCTATAAATAATTAGTAGCATTTGGGGCTATTACAGGATGCCTTATGCATGTCAGTGCTCAGTTACTTCAAATTTTTTCTACCAAAATATGAGAACCAAATAATGGAATTGGTGTGGCCCAGACATGTATCATCCTACAGTAGAAGCCTGGGGCAGATGGGTATATGTTGCCATATTTTATGGAAGATTGATTCTGGAACAATATTTGGTCAAAAGGTCTTGTAATGCTGATCCGAAAGCAGTGTACCTTCTTATGAGACCATTACGTGGGGTTATGGATGTCATAAGTAATCCTGCCATTGGGGCTAACATATTACTCTATAATGTCAAGATGGCTTTATTGGATGAGAAGAACATTACATTTTGGCTTGTCCTTTATGTTCCTCTTCTATGGTTTTGAAATATCTGCTTGTCATGCATCCTTGCAAAGAATTCACAGTTGATGAGAAAAGTATTAGTTTGGGACATGTTTGTACTTGTCCTATAATTTTGAAATATCCACTTGTCATACATAATCTTTGTATCATAACGAACTATTCTATGTGAAGTCAGAATGCCTTTGTTTGATTGAGAAAAATATTACAGTTTGGAGGACTGTTCCTGCTTTCTGTAATTTGAAATATCTAGTCATTGATGATGGTTCGTCAGTGTTGGGTCACTAACTTTTAGTCTCTTCAGTAAATACAGATTTTGGTGAGATCCAACTTTTTCCCAGTTGACACATTAAGAATCCTGTCTATAGTGACCACCTGTCCACATAGACCTGAGATTCTATCGGTCCCCTGGGTGGTCTTTTTGGGCAGTTTTGACTGTATCCATCCTCTCCTTGGTGCTGAATGGCTATCATGTACAGCATGACTTGTGTCTAAGATTTGGTTTGACTATACTTAAAGATTCACTGCATGAATTTTCAGCAGTTTTCAAAATTCCTTTCCTTGGTGCTGAATGGATATCATGTACATGTACAGCATAACTTGTGTCTAAGATTTGGTCTTCTTAGATTTTATCGGCCCCCTGAGTGGTCTTCTTGTGCAGGTTTGACTGTACTGAAAGGTTGTACCAAGTTATTGCTGTAGCCATCCTCTCCTTGGTGCTGAATGGCTATCATAAACAATTAACCTGTATCCAAGATCTGCTTACAACTGTTACTGTTGACAAATTATCGCTGTGTCTCTATCCTCTCCTTGGTGCTGAATGGCTATCACCTACAACATATAACTTGTGTCTAAGATTCTTAGACTTTATCGGTCCTCTGAGTGGTCTTCTTGAGCAGGTTTGACTGTACTTAATTAAATTCCCTGCACAAATTTTCAGTGTTTACTGTTCAGCTGTCCAATTTGATGTTTCTCGGATTCGTCTCTTCATTTTTTCTGATTTGCAAAAAAAGATTATGGTTCTGAATCAACTCAAATATGCTCATATTTTGCTTCCAACAGGAGAGTCCCTTTCTTCCTACTTTTTCCATCTATCAATGCAGTGGTTAGATTAAAGTTCAAAATTCATTGTTTAAATATTAACCCAGCTTTTTGTGTTGACTTCATGGCTCCTATTGTAGCATTTCAGGCTTTGATAGGATGCCTAGACCTGTTTTTTTCCCTTGGTTTGGTTTGGTTTGGTTTATTTAGATCCACAATTAGCTTAACAATTCATATTGCAGCTATTCTTCCTGTCGCTTCATATATTTTCCGAAAAAATCTGAGAACCAACAAATCAAATTGGCATCGCCTTACGATGCCATTCGTCCATCTTTCCTCGATCAACTCTCATGAAGCACTGACGAAACGACGGAATAACTCCTCGGTAATGGATGTGAAGTGACCTGTGACCTCCCTCTCGAAGACGGCACATTCCGCAGCTGATCTTGAGTGGGACAGATGCTCAGGATTTCCAATAACCACACCTGAGCACTGGTTCTAAATCATGTATGGATCCAGAAATGTCTGTACTTACAGTGGCAAACTGTGATAGATCAGGCTTCAGTCATTGTCAAGAGGTGTGGATTTAGATAGTATTGTTATTAATTTGAACTTGTTGCTATGTTTGCTAAACTGATGCATCATTTTTAAGTCTCTTCATCTAAAGTTTGAAAAGATGGAGAGAAATATCAAAGGTAAACGAAAATATCTTAAAAATCACTTAGCATGGATCAAAATGTAATATTGATGTTGGGATCCATTCACAGCATTGTCCACCATAAGAGCTCCAGCCATTCTAATTCCGACTGGGATCCATACAATTTGCTGGATCAACAATGCTGCAACATCAAAAACGCCACCCATCTGTGCTGCTAGGTACTGCAGGTTTCTAAGCAACGTGCTACCCAGTAGTGCATAAGCCTAATTCTATCAAATGCTGTATTTACATGACATGTATACTGCTGGGATCATGGTAATCCAAACAACTACATTTCCACTGAGATTACAAAAACCACTTATTGAAAACATTGGATTATTCATCAGCAATTGACACCAAGGAAGAAGTCAAACCCACCAGTAATGTACATCAATATCCTTGTGTACATCTAGAAAGATCAGATTTAGATATATAGACACTGGACATTTTTCCTTTTTTTACATTATCAACTAAATGTGCTCCCTTGCAATTAGCTTTCTGGAATGACTTTGTGAATACTGTAAGTTGCTGCACAGATTGTGAATAAGTTGGGGATCAAAGTTGCTGATTTGTTTCCCTTTGAAGCTGGTGTGCTATGCCAAAGGGTGGCTATACCAGCTATGCAGATAACGATAGAGATACAGAAGTTGTAATCCTTGAATCTATGTCACTATTTTTTATGTGATCCTACTTGTAGAAGACAAGGAAGACGTAAGAGACTTACTTCATCGAAATAGGCATCTTCCTCCACTCCCTCCAGGATCTTGGTGTAGTGAGAAACTCCTGTAGAAAACACGAGGAAAATACGAATCATTAATACATCAATGTCAAAGCGAATGATTTTATCAATGATGATATGAAGCAAAGTTGTTGATCATTTTTTACATATTTAGGCCACACCAATTTAATTTGTTGGTTCTCGGATTTTAAGGAAAAGCAGTAACGACTTGGAAGAAAAGGACTTTCCTCAACTGTTGGGGGCAAAATATAAGCATATTTGAGTTGATTCAGAATCAGAATCTTTTTTTTTTTTTGCAAATCAGAAAAAAATGAAGAGGCGAATCCGAGATCCAACAAATTGAATTGGTGTGGCCTTACAAAAATCAATTAAGCCACTACTGTTTGTTTGTTTGTTTATTTGCTTGTTTGATTAGGATCTTCATTAGTGTAAATTCCACACTACTCTCCCTGGAGCCTGTAGCGAATCACTAACTTTCAGATAGTATTCTGCATGACATTGTCATATATTGTAGTTTGATAATAGTTTTCTATGTTTGTTTTTTTATTGTTTTGCCGATATGGGTCATGTGCCTGAAGCAAGCAATAAAGGATGTTAGATAAAATTTTCAATAAAGTTGTAGCATGTAAGGAACTGGGACTTAGTATCGATTCTGTACGTCTTTGTTTTGAGGCCAGTGCTCACACCCGGTATGTATTGGGGTCAGGGAGGCCATTTGACTGCCCAGGTGATGGTGACAAAGTAGTCACAGTAGACGCTTCAATCACTGCGCTTTGTTACAACTTGTCAACTTCCATTCAGGCACGAGCTGCAAGTGGATAGCACTGCAGTAACTGAGTAAGGCTGAATCGCCATGGCTCTTGTATAATAGCCAAGTACACTGGGTCACCCTTCCCTTCTCAATACGGTTCTTATATGTGCAGAAGTTAATGCCATAGGAGGCTATCCCTTACAACTTAGTGATACAACATTTGCTTTGAGCTCAGGGAACTACCAGTACCTTAAGTTTGTTACAACTTGTCAACTTCCATTCAGCCATGAGCTACAAGTGGATAGCACTGCAATTAATACAGCATTGCTACGGCTCTCGTATATAGCCAAGTACACCGGGCCACTCCTACTTTTCTTGATAAGTGTGTTGGGTTCTTTTTAATATATTCAGAGGTTTGACATCTGAGGTTACAACCACAGTCCAAACTGGGAAGTACATGTACCTTCAATCATCAGGCGCTTTGTTACGACGTGTCAACTACCAGTCAGACACGAGCTACAAGTAGATAGCATTGCAGTATATAGTAGAGGAGATTCATTCCTCAAGCTAACCGACATCTCGCACACGCAGTCGTCCCTCAGTAAGACATCTGGAGCTGCATAGTTCCCGTTTAGAACTTTTATTCAGCCAGTGTCACACGACCGGTTTCGCCTGTGTGGCTTCTTCAAGTGTACAGAGGCTACAAGTATATAGCTAGCATTGCAGTAAGGGTGAATCGCCATGGCTCTTGTATATAGCCAAGCACACTGGGTCACCCTACCCTTCTCCTAAGTGTGTTGGGTTCTTTTTTAGCCCTTACAACAATTGTTGAATCTGGGAACCACTGTATTAGCAGTGTTCAAGCGCTGCTAACTGATCCATTCCAATGGGTCGGACCTTCTGGAATAGTGGTTAGCACACTGTTTTGTTTCACTACCTTTCAGTCATGAGCTAGTAACTAAGCATTAAAGATGAATCTTTAGTTGCTAGAGCTTGAGTTTTAGCCAAGCACATTGGGTTACTCCTACTTTTGATAAGTGTGATGGGTTCCTTTACTGTATGTACTACATGGGGCTGCCAACTTTATATGTCAATGACAAATGCAACGGTACCCTTACAATATTTTCGAACTGGCCAACACTGCGTTGGGTTAGAGCCATGGAATTTGATCCATATTGTCGAAACAGTAAGATCCCTCACTTTTTATGCCGTGGGGACATACTAGACCCATACATACACTGTACACATATCCATAATATGGCAATTCATGCTTATTCATGATCCACCCTCATGTCAGGTAAAAGTAAAGGAACAGTTTGTCAAGCCACACCGTACTAGACTCCCTGGATGGAAAGAATAATGCGCTGTATTTGTTGTTGCCCATGGCTTGTATACATGTATACATATCACCTGTTAATGAAGCTTCCATGTAGAGAACAACTTAGCAACTCAGCAAGATTGACAATAAACAGTTTTCTTCACACTTTGTCTTCCATTTAGTACTTTCGTAAATAATGTTTATGATGTTTTTAGGCAAAATCAGCTTTATTTGCCTATTTCTGGTGTAGTCACATTTGTCATGCTTTCATGCGATTTGGATGTCGTAGAATTGAATTTTCAAGCAGGCTGTGACAGAACGAACAGCCAACAAGGCTCTTAGAGACATACATGTACATACATTAGCAACCTATCAGCCGTGCTTTATGCCATCACATACAACTCTCCAGTTCTCTCTATCTAACATTGCATTTCCTAAGTATTCGAGTTCTATGCCAGTGTTTCTAGTTAAGGTATCGGTAAAAATCAGACTTCTACAGCGTACTCGACCTTTTGGCTTCCAGAGAAGGACAGAAGAAACTTACTGCTTATCTCTATAACAATGTCCTGCAGATTTTACCCTGCGGTGGGTGAGTTTTTGAGACAGCCTCGGAAGACCCCCATATATTGTTTGAATAGTAGCATGTTGTATCGACGATATATTTTGTGCCCTTCGCAGTAACTAATTAGTGTAAGTCCCATCTAATCTGTTTTGGAGTGTAAGTGACACTGTCCAATGGATGTATTCGCACCATAGAGTAAAACTCTTATAGACAGTCTTTTCTGCAATAAGACAGCTGAATTTTTCAGGACGTATGCATGACTTTCCCAAGAATTCATTTAGTTTGCAATGGTATGACGTACGTTATACATTCTATGTGACTGGCCCCTAAGGACACAGGAAGGTTGTATGTGATCGATCACATGAGAGAAAGTTGGACTACAAAGCTCCCAGAACAGTGGGTGGTCTGATAGTGTACGACAGAGGAAGTTTTAAATATTTATGATCCATCCTTCCTGTCGTTAGCCATCATCCAATCTTGACAGAAGAAAACAAAATACTGCCATTATCATCTACAGGAAAAGCTAGAGTCCAAAACTATCTTAGCTGCCAAGTCTCTTTTGTCCTCTTCAATTTTGTCTCTTTGTCAAATAGATGCAAAGAGAACGAAAGACACTCTTCAGCTACATGTAAATTTTGTATAAAAGGTCAGCCAGGGTACCACTAGAACAGTAGTAGAAGATCACAAACTGAGGAACATCTTAGATGTAAAATGTACATTATCTACTGCTTCCTGTCCCTGAGTGTTAAATTGCCCAGTCGCTTTAAGTATGTTTGGATACCAGGCTACTACAAAAGATCACAAACTAAGCAACATAAGGTGTGAAATGTACACTCACATCATGCATGATCTTCGCAAATATTTGCTCAGAGGAAGAAAGACACATGGCAGCTAATATTATAAGGTTTGGACACCAGGCTACTACACAAAGATCACAAAGTGAACAAGATGTGAAATGTACATGATCTACCACTTCCTGTCCTAGTCCAAATTCAAAATGCCCAACCGTAATAAGTACTAGGTACTACTAGGCTTACATGAAGAAATAATGACGTATATGTAGCTTTGATTTAGATATCATCTTGACAATGATGAAACTGTTGTTCCCAGATCTGGAGAGGGTCCTCCGAGATTGCCCTACCCTAATGATTATTATGACATTAGCCCCTTTAGAATTCATATTGCTGCCGGCGGCCATAATACTTACGTGAAGAAGTAGCTTTGATTTAGAAATCATCTTCCCAATGATGAAACTGTTGTTCCCAACAAGAGATGAACAAGATTTTTCTGGAGAAGGTCCTCTGAGATTGCCCTATCCTATGATGACATCCTCTCCTCTAGAATTCATAATTACCCTCTTTACCATCTTGCCAATAATGACACTTGTGTTCCCAGTATAAGAAGGAAATTTTTTTCTTGAGAAGGTCCTCTGAGATTGCCCTATCCTAATGATATGGCATCCTACCCTTTAGAATTCAGCACTTGAGGCTTATGTGAAGAAATAGAGGTAGCTTTGATTTAGATATCATCTTGCCAATGATGAAACTGTTGTTCCTAACAAAAGAAAAATTTGCTCAGGTCCTCTGAACAAGATTTCAACTGGAGAGGGTCCTCTGAGGTTGCCCTATCCTAATGATATGGCATGCTTCCCCTTTAGAATTCATATTGCTTTCAGCGGCCATGAGTGTTCATATTTCACGCGCTCCCCCGGGTACCGACATTGACGTCATCATTTCCATGGCAACAGCAAAGCCATCCATCAATCACTCGGAGAAGTTTGACAAGTCGGCGGGAGAAAAGACGGCATTATGTCAGCGGCTTCACGTAAGATTTGTGTCATCGACGTTGGGTGACAATAACATGTTGTTCAGCGAGAGGCTTAGGCCTAAGAAAAGATGTTGTGTTTCCTGTTTCAGTCCTGAAAAATTATGGTTGGTGGGTAGGGATTATCATTTTTTAAGACTTATTTTTACATCTCTAGTGGTCCAACTTATACAAAACAGTTTTAACAAGTAAAACTTGCATGGGGACACTTATAATTTCAATGTGTCAATGTTGGAAATTTGGGAACCAATTGTACAACGTTTTATTACTCGGGTGTCAGTTCATGAAAATAAAGAACAATTAGCTAAAAAAAATTATGTCCTTTGCTGGGGTCCAGACAAAAAAAGTCTAGGGGCGGCATTTTTTGTAGGATCGGTCGGGAAACAGGAAACACAACATTTTCCCTAGGCCTTATAGGAATGAAAGAATGGGGGAACATCATCCTTTAAAAACTGACAGGCCTAATTCTTGTATTGTGTAGTGGAAAGCAAGCAGTTCGCAGTATCTTTTCTTCAGCAGCGCAGCTTATATTTGCAATCATAATAAATATTGTATGGCCTTGACTTTACAATGGCTAAATGTGGTTCTT